GGCTTTCGGGCTTTCGGGAGCGCCTGCTACGTTCACCCGCCTCGTACGCAAGTTGTTACAGGGTCGTAATGATGTTATTCATTATCTGGATGACATTCTGCTTTTCCATAATGATTTAGACGAACATATTCGAGGTCTAAAGACATTACTGGAACGCATAAGGTCGTTTAATCTGACAGTTAGACCAACTAAAGTGAAGGTCGCTTTCGAGGAGGTCACGTTCCTCGGTCACGTTGTAGGACACGGGGTCCGTAAACCCGAAGCCACCACAGTGGGTAAGATTCTTAACATCCCTATACCGAAAACGAAGAAACAAGTGCGTGCGTTATTGGGTTTATGTAACTTTTATGCCAAATTCATTCCTAACTATTCAACCATTACAGCCGTGTTGTCCTCATTGACAATGAAAGGAATGCCAGCGAAGGTGATCTGGACGAGAGAGTGCGAGGACGCGCTCCAGAGATTACAAAAGGCATTTAATAGTAATCCGTTCTTGTGTTTGCCAGATTTGTCTCTGCCGTTCTATGTATCCACAGATGCGTCTGATGTTGCGATTGGTGGGACGTTGATGCAATCCAGAGAGGGCACCCTACTCCCTGTTGTTTATGCCAGCAGGAAGCTGTCTCCTACTGAATGCCGTTACAGCGTGGGCGAGAGGGAGGCACTAGCCATTTTTTGGGCAGTAGGGAAGTTTACCCAATTTCTATATGGCAGTCACTTCTTTATCTTGACAGACCATCGTCCACTCGAAGTCTTGAACTCAGCACCCATAAAAAACTCACGCATATTAAGATGGACAATGTTTCTACAGACGTTCAACTTCACAGTTATTTATCGCCCAGGGAAAGAAAATGTCTTGGCCGATTTTTTGTCGTGCACACCAGATGCATTGGAAAGGAATTGATGTGTGTTTGTTTAATTTACATGATATTTAAAATGCATGCTGTTATGAAAAATAATTTGGATAACAATAATGATGTTGATAATAATGCTTAGTGAAGTCAGGAATCTATATTTTGCATTCACCTTAGTAATGTATTTATGATATATTGAGACGTGAGTGTTTGTGTATTCAAGTGTTCTTGTTTGCTCTCTCGTATTGGTGCTGTTGCCGCGACATGACTCCAGTTTTCCGACTGAGACTACGACAAGTCCTAGTGCTCGGTCGTCCTCGGGGAGGGGGGAAAAGCTGTCGCGTGCGGATGTGCACCAGAACGCACCAGTACTGAGTGAGAAAATAAGACGTCAAAACAATACATAACGTTGTGAAGGTATTGTTGTCAAAGGCAGTTGATGTTTATAGTCCGAAGGAGACGGACGTGTGGATCCTTGAGGACGCTTTACCCCGGGATCCCACGGAAGCAAACGTTGTTTAAAGTTGGATCCTTGAGGACGTTTTACCTCGGGATGCCACAGTTCGGCAGTAAGCAGGTATACTTTGCAGTTGATGTTTAGGTGAATTGTCACAGCTCGGCAGTAAGCCGGTATACTTTCATTGCTTAATTCGGACTTGTCCGAAGACAAAGATAATCGTCTGGATCTCAAGGTCGGACTGCGACCTATAGTGAGGACATATCAGTCCATGGATGTTCGAGCGGGCTTTTGTTGATGTGCTTGAATGAGTATGAAATATTACGTGCATATTTCTCCTTGTGTTGATCATTGCTATTTGTCAATACACAAATGGAACTTTTAAAGAGAGTTCTCGTTCCGCTACGTTTGGAAGTTTCAACATTCATCATGTTATGTTACACTTGGCCAGTGGCATGTTAAGTGTTGATGCCCTTTTGTTACATTGCGACGCCCCTAGTCATTTTCATCACCACGCAGCCTTTACAGCACGTCACACTGTAGCTCCAAGTATACGCCAGTCACAATGAAGCCAACGCACGTTACAACTCCTCACTCGTGTCTTCCGCAGCGAAGCATGCCACTCTGCACGAAGCATACCTGTTCTGCATTTCTTTTGCCTCTTGACACTGAACCGTCTGTGTAAATGATCAAATCCTCTGAGCGAGCATTATCTTGAATTAATTGCTGAATTTCCACCTCTGTGGCACCTGCTGGCCAGTCTCTGCATTCCCGGCTCAGCATTATTATGACTCTACACAAGTCTGACTGTTCAGGTGGCACTTTGACCCACTCCTCTCCTCACTTAATGTTCTCAAGGATGCAAACCTGTCTGATTGTGACTGTTCAGTCGCTCCCAAAGGGCCCTCACAACATCAGTTCACCAACAAGTGGTGCAGAACCGGCCTGTCTCTTTGTCTGCTTATTTCTAGCATACCCAGAGAAAATATCCAAAAGGCGCTAATTACCTGGAACCTCTGAAGCGATGCTTGCCACTCTGAACGAAGCATGCCTGTCTCCACCTTTCTCAAAATGCTCTGTGAGTGAGTCAGTTACAATTATGACAAGTGTGTACAGCTGATTCTTAAGCTAGCTGAAGGCAGCAGAGACTGCCTCCACCTCCATTCTCAAACTATATGTGATATCATATGCCAGTATCTCAATCTGCAGTGTTTACGTTACTGCACTAGCCATGCAGTCCTAAATCATCAGGCTCAAAGAATCTCCTAGAAATGTGTGTTATAAACTTTGTATTCAGAAAATGGCGAGTGACTGATTGCCATGGAATAGGTGATGTGCGTTATGTAGTAATGTCCTACACAAGATTTATTCAGCTATTCAGGTAAACCTACTCATGGGCCAAAATGTTTTTTAACCCTTTCGCTGCTATGGACGAGATAACTCGTCTGCCCGGCAGACTGCTAAAGACGAGATAACTCGGCTGCAATTTTCTGTGCCCTCACTGCTAAGGACGAGATATCTCGTTCTGGACATTTTTTTACAGATTGCTAAGGACAGTAATTCTTAGGGGTGAAATAGCAATACACATTAACTTAATCTGATCAAACTGACCCGTTTACATACAATTAAAACCCTTATCGAGTGAGTTTAGGCGTATTTAGATGCATTTCACGTTATCCTGTTTCTTTGTTACCATAGAAGCATTGTCGGTGATCGGTAATTTTTTTGCCCTGAAATATATTTCTGGTTTTGCGTTAGTCTAATTTTTTTTTTTAATACAAAATAACAAGAACATTTGTTTAAATAAAGAAGAATTAATTGAGTTTCTTTCAAGGAGTAGTAGTAAGGATCACTTTGAAACGTGTGAGTTATATGAGCTGGGTTATCTTCGCGGCACGCCGGCGGACACGTGTACTTCTGGCTGTGAACAAGACTGACCAGTGACCATATGACCTAGCTATCTACATCGACTGGATTTGAAACGGATCCAAAATAATCAACAACAAAAAAAAGATATAGTCACGTACTGACGTGATGATTAATTTTAATTATATACTATACAACTGACATAAATGTGTTTGTCTATTAAAGTGTACAATACTGGTCTTTTTTTTCAGTTCATAGTTTCATGTGAATTTCTAGTGTAGTTGGTATCACGTCTGCCTTACAATCGAAAGGTCCAGCGTTCAACCCCTACGTGCCGTTTTTTTTTCTAAATTAATTATTTTAAATGCAAATTTTAAATTTAAGCTGTTAGCATTTTCGGCAACAGATAACCAAAGAAATAATTAATTAAACATCCTGTCACGTGCGTTCAGGTGGATTTAGATGCTTTACACGTTATGTGAAGCGTGGTTGGTGTACTGTGCACATTCATTATATAAAGTTGTTGTGGGGAAAAACACACCTGTTGCCGAATTTCACTTAATGTTAGTAAGAGAAATTCTACATAAATATTGCAAGGAAAAGAGAAAAAGTGTAGGAGGACAAAAAAGTGAAGATCTGCCACTTCGTTTAGTACAAAGGCATTCCCCTTCAATAATAGAGTCCGTAACATCGCAGAAAAAATTCCCAACCAGAAAGTGTGTGGTATGCGCAAAAAAGCAAAAAAACAACGGAAACCCAGATACATGTGCAAGGAATGTGATTTGGCATTGTGTGTCGCACCTTGTTTTGAAATATTTCACACACAAAGATATTATTAATAATAATAAAAACCATGTATTTGCTTACTAAAGTGTTTTGTGTTTGCTTTGTAAGTTTGTAGTGTTTTCTTTTTGTTAATGAGTTTTCACGGCGTAGTAATAGCGCGTCTGACTTGTCAGCGCAAAGTTCAACCACACGCCTTCAACGATTTTTTATTTTAGGTGTACAATTTTTACCCCGTGCCGTAAGCGCGTCTTCTGCTTTTGAAGGAAAAAACGGTATTCAGCACAGGGGGAAAGATTAGCTCTCGCCTGGCTTAGCACAGTGGTTACGTTGGCTGGCGGAGGGCGCAGCAGCGAAAGGGTTAAAAATGATCATCGTTGGCCAAACGCTGGACCCCAAGGATAGAAATACCACTACTGCAATACAGTTGACAATGATCCACAGGCCACTTGCTAGACTTTGGTGGGCCAATTCTGGCCCACAGGCTGCCAGATGAACAGCCCTGTCGTTCACCATCCTAAAATGCAGTAAAGTCAGTTTAAACTGACCCTAAATTATTGACCTCACATTCTACAGGGTGGTCAAAAATTAACTACAATACCCAATAAGAACTTTGGAACTAAGTTATTTTTTAAAGGCGCTTAGTAACAGTCTAAATATATACTATTCTAAGAATCAAGGGGCCAAAACAAACATTCCAGCCTGCAGAGTTTACAGCAACTATATTAGCACTGTGACCCTAAATCCTTAGTCTCAAGACCCAGTTGTTTTACTGCCAATTACTGCCTGTACTTACCATCTATGCGGTGTGGCATGGCAATCTTTGAGCCTGAGGATTTAGGGCCCCATAGCTGTCGCCACACACTGTGCAGGTTAGGATTTTATTTTTTACCCCCAACAGAAAAAATCCACGAACTTGCGGAGGATTCTAACTGCAGTCACTCGCATGAGAGCCCAGCGTTTTTTTAACTGTTTGGCCAGATGTTCTACACCGCCCTAAAATGTGGTCAAAACAAACAGTATAGACAGTTTCAAAATACCTTTAGCCTCATCCTGGGAGACAACTGCAGTGGCTTTGTTGTTGAAGAACCTTATGGTGGGAACTCTGAACATGTGAAAGAGTCCTTCCTCTGCCCCATGATGATAGGTCATTCTCAAGACTGGATACCTAGACTTGAACACAGCTGGTTCCATGCCTGTTTGGTCAAGAGATCATAATAAAATATGTTCATGTGATGTGGGCATGCATATCCATCATTAGAAAATCACTGCAAACATTTTCTGTAGGCTGAGATAATCTACGGAATTAACATGCAACTACATCGAGGAAGACCAAGAAGATAAACACTGCCTTCAAAGAGCTTACAGAGGCAGCAGAACAAGCAGCCACACATGTGATAATTAATTTTAAACTCTATGAACATGCTTTAGAAAACTGCAACAGACAGTCTCTGATGTGAGTGGGTAGAGGGATCTGAAAGTTACATTTTATCTTCTTCACCTGGGTCAACACATCTGGGCATGCTGAGAAAAAAAGGTAAAAAATGGACACTCCTCCTGGCAAGTAATGTGCTAAATACATGTGGGAAGGAACATGGACAGACCTGATACAGTCAATTTTGTTCTAACTAGGCTGGGTGATAACGAGACACGTTGTCAAGTCCATTTCAAGGCATGGAAAAGTTATTCTTACCCGACACAGTTAATCGTGAATATGTTATCAAGGAACCACCAATGACATGTCCAGTTTTTCAATGATGATGACTGGTACTTAACTAAACTAGGATCAACACTTAATGCTTTCAGCTTTGTTCTTTGATGGTTGTCATTTCATAGCTCATAGAGAATGAGATGCTAATACTTATGGTCAATGCACTGACATTTATTGCAACATCAAGGTGCAAACAGAAGTTACAAGACAATAGAAAATTAATGCAAAAAAAACACAACAACAAAAAGGTGACTGTAATATCATTAGCCACTGCTTGCATGTGACATATTGGGAAAGAAAAGAGACTAACCGATTTCAATCTTGTCTATGTCCTCCAGGTATATCCGCTGGTATCTGCTGACTAGCTCCTGGTCATCATCGTACCAGGCTGCATAGACCGACCTCTGACTTAAGAGAAGGATTATGTCCATATCCTGCTGCTCACTGTCCCCTGCCCTGATTGTTATAGAAACACAAAGTTACACAGAAATAACAATACAAAGTACTCGTCATATAAAGAAAAACTGATAGACAGATGGCTAGTTCTGGATGATTTGGTGATAAACTGATGCATGACAAGTTAGCTGTCATCAAAGTACTTTGGGAGGGAGTAAACAGTGCAAAAGCAAAAACAGATCATCATGGTCTGTAGTGCAGCATGAAAAGTGTCCAGGGGATCTGAGTAAAACTAAACACTCTGACTCGAGGCAAGATGGACTTAAATACAACTGCTACTGGTATCATCTGAAGTGAAACTCTCCACTGGCTGCTGAAGATGGGGATGGAGCTTCACTGTCAGTTTTCAACTTAACTTAAGGAAGCATTTTTTTCTACAGGCATATTGCTCCCTTTTCCCACACACACACCCACTTTTTCATGACAGACAATACAATTTACAATGCGAATCAGTTCATATATGTACAACGCGGGTCAGGTTTAAACAGCAAACCTGAGGAACTATGAAGAATTTGAGCACAAACATGGAGAAGGAGTGGATGAAGATGAAGAAAAAGGAGTGGAGGAAAAGGGCATTATGGATATTCTGCTTCTCCAGTCGCTGCTTCTACTCTGGATATAGTCTGCCATCCATATTTGATTATTTTGTGCCATCACAGTAGTTACTTCCCTTTTGGACTTCTAGTGCAAAGGATTCTGGGAATGCGACAGTGATGAAATACCCAGAGACACATCATATCCCAGACTTGTTGCTGGCAAGAGGTGATAATGTCATCACTTTCTGACTGACCACTGGTCACTGTAGCCTCAAACATAATTTACTCATCACAATAAACATTAGACAAACACATTTTGGGTGGGGGGTGGGGGGATGGGAGTTAGTGCAAACACATAATTGAAGAGTTATGCTGAGAAATAGGAGAAAGTAAATTGCATGCTGAATAAGAATGTGGAGAATATGGAAAGGACACTCCAGAGCTGAACAGAATTAGGCTGAACAGGAACTACTGCTGGGATCAAATCAGAAAACTGCATTTTTTAAATTTTAATTTTATTTGTTATGGCCTGGGGAACATGACAATGATCATGATGACAACAGCTAACTTGATGACGGTAACTTTTAGAATAATGTAAATCATCATTCCCGATTACCATACAGACAGTCAGATGGACAGACAGATAAGCTAGGTAGACAGACAGACAAACTGACAGACAGGTGAACTCACACTGGGTCAGCATTGATCAATGCCCACCCTCCGAGACAATGTTCAGGCTCTACAATGAGCATCCTCTTGCAATCTTCAATCATCATCTTGACATTCTCCTCTTTCTCTATTCCCTCGGTCCCATCAACATCATCCCCTTCTCCTGAGGGCACCATCAGTGTCTCTGATACAGGTTGTCCTAAAGTGAGATCTATTGCTGCTTGTCTGTAGGCATCTCGGAACCTCAGGTAGTATCTGCATAAGGAAAGTGTTTAGATACTTCTGTAAGTAATATACTATATTGGTCCATGTTTGAGACAGCCACATGTAGAAAATGACCTTTATTTTCTGCTCAAAATTCAGAAATAATATTTTCAACACATTCCAAGGAAAAGATGACCCCCAGTTTTAAACTTAATAAATTTGGGAACCTATCATCTTACATGTGGACAAAATTACAGTATTTTAAAAGATGGCCTAACTGTATATAGTCATTTATAATTAAATAAATAACTCTTGTTCCACCACTGGTGCATCGAGCATATGGCACTAGACCAAAAATTGTATAGACCATTTCAAGAAGTCAAACTGGTAGGTCAGTTTTACTATCCTTTGCTTCCTTGACTGATTCTTGTAAAAGACATCGCCCAACCAATAAGACAATGTACTTCAAAACTGTATGGTGACTTAATAAAAATAAATTGTTTTATATGGTTGAACAGTGTGTTTTATCCTGTTGGATTTATACCAAACAATTGGTCCTTGAGTCACTGGGTGTCAATTGTAGTGTTGGTTGGCAGCTGGTCTAGGAGGGAAGCTCTGATAGGTGGATGAATAGCTCACTAAACCTCTTATCAGCAGCTTTAGCAGAATGCTTTGTTCCAAATGAATTGGTATTACCTGTCCTCTGGAGCAAACAAGCTGAGCAAGGGATGATGCTGCATGTGCAACTCATGGTCTTTACAATACTATCCAGGCTTTGTGCAATTGAGGAGGAACTTCATTCCTGGCCTTAACTGCCCATCACTATGGGCTGTAATTCCCCTGCCTTTCTAAAATATAATGTATTACTTTCACCTTGAAAATCAGAAAGATGCCTACTGGGTTATCATGGAAGGACAAAAAGATGTCAACTGGGTATCCATGGAAGAACGAAAAGATGTCAACTGGGTATCCATGGAAGGACAAAAGGATGTCAGGTGGGTGGCAATCTTCCATTCTACAATCCCGGAAGGATAAATTTTTTAAAAAGTGATATTTGTTTAAGTTTTGAAAACAGTTAACACATACTGAACATTCATCTACTATATTTGCAAACTTTAAAATTTCTTCAGGAAATCGGTTTTCCCAAGTATAAAAGTTCTAACCAAAAAACAAAAACAAAAACGGGTTTTCCATCACGAACTTCCACTCTAAAACAATTACTCAATTCTGAAGCTTGTACATATCATTCAAGTGAGTCTGAAACTTATATTTGACATAAACTAGTTGAATCTGAAACTTCCACACTGATATTAACCGCTACTTCTAAACACAATGAATACCTGTTAGCAGAGTTGACTCCATCCTTCATCATGCCTGACAACTTCCGCTCGCCAGTGCGGGTGAAGTCACCCTATGCGATTAAATCAAAGAGTGAGAAAAATATACTTTGAAGGAATCAACAAACGACTGCATTAGAAAGAACGAAATTGTATTATTAACCCTGCTGCGAGTCTGACTCGTAATTCCAACGTACCGCGATCGAAACCCACTGCTGGCTGCGTGGGTTTTAATCATGGTATGGGGCGTCGCGGGTCGACCCAGCCTAGAGTGGGTACCATGATGTCTGTCCTGGGGAAGTAAAGACGGCCGGCGTAATGCTGACCACATTACCCACCCAGTGCCGATTGGTCTGTAAAAATATGCGACGCTCTTACCATATGCCTGATGCGCCTAAGGCGTGAAAAGGGATCTATACTTTACTTTTTAACTTTTATTTAAAGAAGGTTATAGAAAATATAAATAACGTGAGTTATTAGTAAATTAAAAAAACTAATGCTTCCATTTGCACTTATTGTAAGTCCACAAACCATTCTTTTTGCACATCAGATCATTCAGTCCATAAGTGCTCAGATCAACTTCTCAGTAAATCCCAAAGTATGTAGTAGCTGATGGCACTAGTTCTCTGTTGGTTTATTCTTCTTCTCTGGCTTCATGTGTAGTGATTGTTTGACCACAGTTCTTTTAATTTGCTTTTCATGCATTCTGACCATTGTTACAGATTCACAGTCATCACTTGGTTTTCACAAATGTCTTACTTCTCATTAGTATAGACAAGGTATATCAGACTGTTACATGGCTCACCCACACTCCATAGTAGTCTTAGCTGCAAGCCTATCCGCATGCTCATTTCCTTGAACACCTGCATGCCCTAATACCAACCACTGTCTTCGAACCCAGCCCATCTCTCTGAGCATACTTAATGAGTCACTGAGAAAGCATGCCCAAGCAAAGTTCCGTGTTTCCAGCCAAATTATTACTTTGGTTACTGCCATGACCTAAACAGTCATACTACTTGAGTTAACGGCAAAACCTTGATGTCTATAAAGCACAGCATGTTATCCTCTTATTTATATTATATAATCCACCAAACTCTTTTTAATTAAATATCCTAACTAAAAGTTAATGAAAACAATGGCGTCAAAAGACAAAAAAGAACCCAATTTATCCATTCTGAACAGGACACACTAACATCTTTAACAATCTCAATCAATTTCCAACATGCACCCAGAAACCAGACTAGCTCTACGTGTTACTGGAACTAGAAGCATAGAAACCTGGCAGCACAGGCCTCTTCAGCTTCCCACTCCCTCCCCCCTTTTCCTCCCCACAAATGTGCACTGAAGTTCTATTTTTAAGTATATATTTTTACAAATATTATTATTTCAAATATATTATTATATCTGTTTGCTATTCACACATTATTCATTGTCAGTGACTTTGTAAGATATAATAATGACCCTATCTATATATTACCTATTGTAATGTGTTTTTATAGTGAGCTTTAAAAATACCACCCCGTGTGTTTTTATAGTGAGCTTCAACTCTTTGAGTCCCAGGGGGTTTAGCATCAGAGGCCCAATGAGAGATGTAAAATCGGTGCAATTTGCGTTCGTTGGCCCTCTAGGAAGGAATCTATGAACATATGTTACGTTCCTTGGGACTCAAAGAGTTAAAAATACCACCCCCATGTGGTTTTGTGTGTACTTGGCAGTCATGAAGGTAACAACTGCAGACCACCAAAATCTCCATAAGAAGCCCATCTGGGCTGCTAGGAGTAGACATCTAAATGGCTATGAAATCAAGAAGAATAATTACTTAGAGAAAATACCCAAAGAAGACAAACATGGTTTCTTTAATGCTCACCTTGAGTGCTGCTGTGCCAGCGTACTGTCTGCTAATGACATCACCATTGTTGGCCCAGATTTGTTGATAGGTCCTCCGACAGCTTCCTGGTAGAGATTCTTCCGGTGGCAGCAGACCCAACTTCCTGAACTGTAACACACACATTCACATTTTTAAAAAAACATATTTTTTTCCTAGGCATATAAGCATCATAACTCACTCATTTGAACTATGAAAGTATCTAGTAGTACAAGGTGTCATATTAATGCAAGTAAGGCAGGAAGCCATGGTCAGGTGGGAAAAAAAAATGACATTGTCACTGAGACTGTGGAAGCAACTTCTTGCACCTAATTCAATGATAAGCAGAAGATAAAATGGTTTGGTCATTTGAATAGATGAAGCTACAACTACCAAATTCAGAAGCCATAATTAAAAAGATTTGATGTGACAGTTAAATAATGCCCAAGGAAAAGATGGACTGAAACATTAAAGACTCTATACATCGACATAGAATGATAAACAGCAGTGCAATTCATTAAGCGCTTAACACAAACCGTTCCTCCCCACAACTTTTGATGGCAAATGTAGAAGCTGATGATGATAAAGGCAGGAAGTCAACAAGGATCTTCTTCCTTCTTGTTCTTTTTGGAAAAGTAAGCCACACCTGTTTATGAACCTGCTGACATCAGCATGTTTTTATGCAAGATTTACATCCTATAGGCTAGGGCTTGGTCGGCAAATCACGGCTCACGAGCCACATGGAGCTTTTTAGCAACTGGAGTGTGGCTTGGCCAGTCGGCCACAAATCAGCTTTAACTCCAAAAAACATGGTTTTTGACAGGTTTTTGAAAAGAAATTTGGCTCTGAAATAAATTGTGATCATCCTGCTGCTGATTTTTGGCTCTTTTGACTAAAGAGTTTGCCAAAAACTGGGCCAGGACTATTTGATTGGAAGCCTATGGGCTGAATTCGATCGACAGAAGCCTTGCAAGTGGCCTACGCATTGTTGCCAAAACAGTAATCTTTCTACACTGGGACTCTGGCCTGTGGTAATCTCTTATTTTCAACTTTTAGGTTCTTGAGTAAAATAAGCTGAATAGCCCTGCTATAGTCTTTTATCTACAGCATACATCTCTGTAAGGTTAACTTACAGTCTGATTTAATCTACAGCATTCATCTCTGTAAGGTTTACATCCTATAGTCATATTTCACCTACAGCATTCATCTCTGTAAGGTTTACATCCTATAGTCATATTTCATCTACAGCATGCTCATGTGAAAGATTTGCAACAGATTAGATCCAAGATAGCACACTCAATCTATCAACTGGTGGGTTTGTTTTCCTAAAGAATTTTGCCAAACAGGAAACATCCAGTACAGTGAGAGAGTATATACTAAGATACCAACACCTTGAACAAATGAAGGTTGCTATTAGTTATTGCTTTCAGTACTCACAAAAATGTATAAAGCACCCATTCTCCGCCATGCTGAAAAGATACTGGCTGTGGTTATGCTCATATTCAATCAATCAAGTGCTGTCTCCACAAGGATAGTTGGTTGCAAAGATCTCTAGTAGACTCTTGTCTCTTGTCTTGTGTGTACACTCTCTGAGGCTGCAGTTTGTTAATCTCTTTATTTTGTCATCTCACTTGTATCATTGTTTACTTTTTTTTCCCAGAACCTCTGTATTTTATTGTTTTGTTTCCATAAAATACAACTTATTTTTCTGAATATCAACACTTTCAGAAACTCAGATTTCATAGTTGCTTGTTCACTGTCCAAGTTTCTGTACCACACAGCAGGGTTGAGTATGCATAACACCTGACAATTCTCATTTTCAACATTTTATTTCTAAAGCTGTCAACAATTTTCACATTTTATGTTCATGATGTGAATCAAGTTAGTAGTACAGGAGTTAATATGTTTTCTGTTGCCTGATGATACGTGGTTTACATCCACATGGTGGCAGATGGTTTGAGAAATGACATGGGCTCCAAGGCTGAGCCAGCCTAAAATGGGTACCAGAAAATATAATGGAAAACAAAAGTGGCCTATGTGTTAATGACCAAATCACTTATAGAATGCTGACTGGTGTATAGAATATGTGGCTAGTTTCATATGCCATTAGGCATGGAAATGGGGTCCAAGTATGACCAGTCGGAGAAAACTTTAAAATAGTTTTGTCAATCTCTAACTGCAGTGCTGTGTTTAACTGCTTAGTTTGAACAAAACTTTAAATACAGGCCTAGAGTTTTTTTTAAAATGTGTATCTTCTGAGGATGACTGAGGATGAAAACAAACACAATCAAATACAGACTTCTGAAGTGACTATTAAAAAAAAAAGTTACAGGAAGAAATAAAAAGAAGACAAATGAAATGTGTTGGCCACAATAAAAGACATAAAATGTTTTTTTTTAAACCAAAGTGGAGGGAAAAGGGAATGGTGAAAGATCAAAATAAAGACCATGATACAAGTAGGAGGACAACATGAAGCGGCAGATGAACAGCAGTTTGAGAGAGTGTACAACCAAGATAAGAGATAAAGTCTTCTGGAGATCCATTTTAGTTAACCCTCACTGTGGAGACGTGACTGATCAAGTCAAAAACATTTTGCTGGTATTCAAGCTATCCCAACACATTAAAAAAATATTCTCTTCCCAAACCACCAATAAACATGGCTTTCTCAACCTGCTAATACTCAAGAACATATAAATTTCAACAAACCTCCCATACTATAAGATTCTTCTTCTTCTTCTTCTGCATCTGACCTAAGAAGGGCAGCTGGCATGTTGTTTGTGGTTTACAGCTAGGCTGCAATATATGTGCCTCTAAACCCAACACTGATATCAGACAATCCCTAATTAGTTCTTGTTTACGACATGTTTGTTAGGAGGCGGTGGGTTTATTCTATCCCCCCCCCCCCCCCAAACAGGGCCCCACAACACACATGGTGAAGCTTCATCTACTACCTGTGTAAGACATTGTTCTTATCAGAGACTGGGGAATGTGTAAACTAATAATAAACTCCAGAAGCAGACAAGTGACACTATATATCTTTATGAGGTTGTCAAGCAGGCTACAGCTTGCCAACCTTTACAACTCATTTATTGCTTTTTGCATTCACATTAGACTGGTGTCTGGCACAGGATGGTTTGTAAACAAATACAATTAGTGTAGGTAGTTATGGGTGCAAATATGGAGTGAGAGGACAGGAAATTGAACCTATACAGGTAGCTGAAGTTGCAAATATGAAGTGGGAGAAACAAGAACTGTGCACTAAAGTTGAAAACAATGCAACAAGCAGAAGATTAAATGCAGAGCTCCCATGTTGCTGTAATAGTTGGCACCAAAGGGAGATCGCCTAATACAAGAAATCTCTCAACTGCATGTATACAACAGTTTCTTCTGGGTTATCTGGTTAGTCGCTGGAAGATTTTCCTCATTTCCCACTAAACAAGTTGAACATTGCTCAGATCTCTCCTCAGTGTAACCACAGATGCACATTCTTTTCATGTTTACGTGCATGCACAATATGTTCAATGTGTAACAACGTTATGTGTTAATTCACAGTTGTGTGAATCCTTAGTTTAGAGATTTGACAAAGGTTGCCGGCCAAAACATTACATTATTTGTGTTGTTTTTCTTCCCCATTTGGTTAAGCTTTTTAGTCAAATTTCACTATAATTCTTAGGGATTATGAATAGTTTCATACTTCCAGCATTCCAGGTTCAATTATATGCAGGTTTCGGCAATCTGGCAGCAGACTGCTTTGCACTGAATTGAATCAATATATGAGCACTGACTGTTCACAAAGAAAAGGCAAACTACTGAAAGTAAAACTGCCTTGTAAAACCATAAACAGCTAAAATTAAAAAAAACAAATTCAGGGGCTGGGCTGTGATATCTAGTAAAGGATGTAAAACTAGCTGATCCATAAGTAGCACACACTGCTAAAATTTGATGTAGATTCATGAGGTAAAACAAAGTGTGTAACCAGGACCCATATAAAAGCAATAAACAACAGCACTGCAACAGTAGCACCATGTATATCATAAGAGGCAACTAAGGAAGGTCATCAAACTAGCTATTTCATCCCAAAGAAAACATTAGCTGCAAAATCGATCCAGACATAAACAAAGCTGTCTTGTCATTTGTCATCTAAATATCTGTGCTTTTACTGAAAAGTAAAGGGCAAAATAAAAATTAAGCAGGTTGCAAAAGAAGCAAGTGAAAGCATCAGATGTCTGCTAAAACAGCAACAACTAACTTGTGTTTCCATGACAATCCTGGCTATTGCAGTCTGAACCACATTTGTCCGGTCCAGACAGTCCACACAGTTGACCCGGAAGACACCTTGTTGTTCACATATGACACCTTTATTGTCCACCCTGTAGGTTGAATCATCATCAGAAAGCAAATCAATGTATCTGATGCACTTTCGTAGAAAACAAGTTAGTATAAAGTTAAGAACATCAATTATTTAAAGGATATATGTAGTTTCCTTTAAGGCCAGAGTGCGTCTGCCTTAAAAGTAAGGAACCAATAGTCAGCCTCTAAATGAGTCAGATCTATAAAATGAATGTGCATGTACGCACCTGTACACCCGTGCATGTATGGGTGTGCGTGTACGCACTCGCACACATAACAGAATACAGCCAATCCTATATGAACAGGAGCACCAAACCTGATATGATACAAAAAGGGTGTCCAAGGAAAAGACTGATAACATTAAAGACATTATACATCCATCTTCAGAGGTCCTGTGTAGTTAGCATCCTTTGAATATATTCTCCATGTCATGCTGGTGGAAAATGAGCGGGCAGACAGACTGACCGGCTCTGCAAAACTTGGTGGTGAACTGATGTATGACAAGCTAGATATTGTGAGGGCCCTTTGGGAACTAGTGATAGATCATTGCGGCCTGAAGAGAACAGCGCTGCAATGAGTTACCAGAGGATGTGGCCGACACTCAACACTCAGGGGAAGGATAAGACGGATATACAATTAGTGGCTACTGGTGCCATCAGAATTGGAGCTCTTCGCTTGCTGCTGAAGATGGGGGATGGAGCACTTATGGGAGTGTCCTGAGTGCTGTGATGTCGATTCTTAATTTAACATTATACATCCATGTAGAATGATAACTGCTAGTACTACCACCTGAGCACTGGACTGCACACTGTTCCTCCTCATGATGTTTAATGATAACAATGGTTGATAATCATAATGATGAAAATGACGAATAAATCATTCAGAAGAGAATTTACTCACCAGCAATACCTCATTTCTTTGATCACATCTTTAATTCCGTCAGTGAGAATAGATACATTCTCAAACCGCATGCCTCGACTGAAAATAAGTTAAGAAAAGACAGCTTGGTTACAGAAATCTTCAAGTGCTATAGACTAATGAAGATACATACACTGAATGTAAGTGTCCTAGGAGGGACCCGAACCTGGGTGACATATATGTGATGCACTAATAGAGAGATCCTCTGAGGGTGGAGAATGTCCATACCTTGTCCTTAGCATTTTGGACAAAATTTCTCTGCATGTCAGCCTCCCCCCACACACATTTATCTCTTAGGTGTGTGTGCGTGGACATACATATATTTAAATGCAGATGCACGCATACATTTCATCATCAATCAGGTGCCGTCTCCACAGTGAAGGCTGGCTTCAATGGATCTCCAACATGCTCTGTCTCTGGTTCTACACTCTCTCAGACTGCTGCTCGTCCATGATGTTATCCTACCACTTGTATCATTGCCTTACCCTAGCTCTCTTGCCTTTGATCTTTCCTTCTAGTATGGTATGGTTTTTAAAAGTGTGCTGTTTTTCAGTTGTCTCTTTTTTATTTATTTCAGTAATTCTCTTTTCATTTATAGCCTTTCCAGAATCTATGTACATATTTAACTGTATTTTATTCCTATTTTGTGCAGCTAATCATCTGTAATCTAGGCTATCCTCCGAATAACGGGCAGGAAAGATGGCGGCCGCAAAATATCCTTTCGAGCCGCAATCATGTGTCAATTGCGCACTTCCGACGACTTAATTAGCGATTCTCCGGCGACTACCGCCACGAGTCCCCTACGCGGCGTACGTGGCGTGGATTGGGGCTAAACTAGATGGCTAGGACCCACAAGCAGCAGCTTCCGCATCTCCTGAAGCTTAGCTCGTTAGCCCTAGCCATCTAGTTAAGCCACAATCCACGCCGCATGAGGGGCGTGGGGGACTCGTGGTGGTAGTCGCTGGAAAACCGCCGGAGAACCGCAAATTAGGTCACGTGACTGTGGCTCGAAAGGATATTTTGCGGCCGCCATCTTTACTGCCCGTTATTCAGAGGATAGCCGTAATCTATATTGTGTCTATGGTCAATGTTCATGTAACTGTATTTATTACTAATTACACTTAACGTATATTAATGAAGGTTTTGAACACACCACACCACTATAAATTTACTTTTATCTAAATGTTTAGAAACATATCTGTGGGAAATTAATATAATGGTTTCCGCCTGCATTCTTTATCTGTTGGCATATTTCCATTATTTTAAGTTGATAAGGCTTTTGGCAGGCATGGGAACCACAGCCCATGGGGATGGTAAGTCTAATTAGATAGAGCCACTCATATTAGGAAAATTCTGCAATTATTGCATGGGATTTCAGGACCATTATTGTCATTGCAAGTATTTAACCATGCTTCTTCTCAGACGCTTAACTCCCAACCTACCTGCAATCATTTGTCCATTATTCCTATTCCCTTCTTGATTATTCTTCCTCAGTACAAACTTTTATATGCTATAAATATTTTGCAATGAATAAATATTCTAATTTCAGAACTTCTGTCAGGGCATTGTCCACTCAATTCCTGCTCTTCATTATTTCCAAATATTTAGCGATCATTAACATGCAAGTGGGATCTTCTAGACACGTTCCAGTGAAGGAGGTTCGTGTGAAGTATCAGAGATGAAATCGCCATGAATCTTGCAAGAAGTAACTGAGATTGTGAGACAGCAAGATAGGGCTCACACACAAAAAAGGACTTTGTGAAATACAGGAACATGTGTAATAAAGTTCAGTATATCATCTGAAAGAAAAAAAGAACTACTTTAAAACACTAGCAGTAGATTAACACCCCCCCCCCCCCTCTTTTCCCCCACAAAAAAAACAAAAAATTTATGGAAAGCAATAAATATCTTGATAAACCAAAAACAGTTCCTCTTGGTAACATCACATCATAATATTAAATCAGAAGATTTTAGTGACGTCTTTCAAGCAGATATAGAGCAGTAAATGCCATAATGCCAAATGATCCTAGTGACTTATCCTTGCTATCCTCGTTTTGCGATAATAAATGCTGGAAAGATATTTCTACTGACATTCCATTTACGACAGTTATAGAAGTATTTACATATCTCACCAATCTTGAAAAAATGTATAGACAGAATAAGTAAAAGGATCCTTCGTTGTGCTGCCTCAGCTATATGTGAGTCATTAAACTTTACATACAACCAATGTCTCACTAAAGGCAATTAAAATTGACAAAGTGTATCCTCATCTGAGATCTGGGTCAATGGACAGTGGTCTTCCAAGCAGTTTTAGGCTTTTCTCCTGTGATAAACATGGTCAAATAAGAAGAAACAATTCTCATATCGTCTCACCTCAAAATAGGGTATGAACATGGTCAAAGAAGAAGAAACAATTCTCATACTAACTAGTACTCATGGAAATCAAATGTGACATAGGTCAGGTTAGGAGAGTTGAACCTCAAGATAGGGGATGAACATGGTCAAAGAAGAAGAAACAATTCTCATACTCACCAGTACTCATGGAAATCAAATGTGACATAGGTCAGGTTAGGAGAGTTGAACCTCAGGACATGGGACAAATAAGCATCTCCTATGACATGCTCCTTGCCAGCCTGTTCAACCAGCGTGATGATGCAAACTTTCTGGTACAGTGACAACTGCTCCTTGAAGTGGGTGACAAAGGCTTCATAATTTTCATTTTCGTCTGTGGATGAAATTAAATCACTTATACTGAATCTGGATATAGATAACAAAACGGGAATCTCCTGGCAATAAGAACCATAGTTGTTTAATCACTGAATCTTAAAACACTGGTTTTACTATAGAGATATCTTTGGCCTGAATCATCAGTAACCGGGTCGCCCATTGGCTGTGCAGTAGACGACTGTCGTCGTTGGTCGGGACAGTGGGTCTGTCTCTTTTGATAGCATCAACTTTGCAAGAATCCTTTTTCAACCCTATCAGCTACTAACAAGTCTCAAGAAATGCAAAACAAATAAACATGTATTGATTGACACTCAAAGAAAAAAGAGAGAGGAGGACACATTAGATAATTTTTAAAAATGAAAGCTATAGTAAGTAACAATACCAGAAAGGAAATGGAAGATAAAATAACTCAGCAACCTAAGATGAACGGTGGTGCTTCTAAAACAATAAGTATGACAAAATGCTGAAACAATTTAAAGGAGTCTGGACTATTATTCAATTACCTTCTTACACTCGGGAAAACAGGCGAAACTGAGCAGGTCTGAGTCAGGCTTTAAAAAAAAAATGTCCCTCACACAGCGGTCGATGAAATTTTGAAATATGGCATGCGGTGTGTTAATAGTCATGTCTTTGTAAGTATTTTTTTTTTAAATGTTAACAAACATATAGTTTTCTTTTTTGCCTTATTTGCGATGCAGGTACGCATTAAGAGTTCAGAAACGCATTACAAAACTAAAACCCTATATAGACACCCATTCAAAGCAAACAATAAACATGCTTACAGTAACTTGAGAAAACTGAGTAAGGGGAACTTTTCAAAACATCAAATTGCACGCTTGTCATAGGCGTTTCACTCTAAAGTGGTCATCTCCTGCATGTCTCCCGCGTTGTGGATTTTTCATTGAATGGGAAAATGGCTATCAAAATAATCACCACGCAACACTGCCCATGTGGACAGATTTCCCAAAAATATCCACACTTATGTTAATTACTGTATATTTCAATTATTTGTCAGGGGTACCGAAATGATTAGTCAAACAAAGATCGCAGAAATTCACAGCGTTAAGAAGACAGCAGCATTCGCGCAACTGTAAATTAATAACCATAAGTAAATGGCAAATTTAGGGCCACATGCAAAAATGCGTGCTGACCAGTACATGATATATCGAGACATTTGTTAAAGTATAACAGCTTGAGTTTAGAAACGCATTACAGAACTAAAAACCCTATATAGAATTAAGGTATACCCATGCCATCCTTGAAGAAATTTCTCTTAAAGATGTAATCAACGATAATAATAAACTATCATCCTGTAAAGAGAAGAAATAAAAAAGAGGAGGGACGAGGAAGAGGAGAGGAAAATTACGAGTGACATCAGTGGCTTTTTAACACAGAAAGAAATAGATTTAAAATTTGACAAGAACAACGAACTGGCGGAAATAAAGCAGAAGACTCGACGAGAACGATGAATTAACGAAACAACGGAAACAACAAACACTTCCTTGTACACATATCTCAAAAACATTTGTGTAGCAGACGTCTCCTAGTCAAGGCTGACGACAGTCCTAGCAGGTAAAGGCGGAAGCCAAGAAGTCAGATAAAAAAAAACGTTGGTTTAAAAAAAAAGTAGTCATCAAATTTGTGTTTTAAGGTGCCTAGGTACAACTCACAAACTCTGGTCCATAGGTGTCAGCTCCGCCCATTTACACACTATGCAACAGACTTATGATTGATGGAGTCCGGCCAGGACTCTGTGATTGAGCATTCAGTCTCCCTCTCCTCCCCCCCAACCTTGCAGACGCGCAAGTGTGAGTGGCAGGGGGAAGCTCCTTCTAGCGACGACATAAATAAACAGAGGGGTAATCTGGTAATCCCAGTTTCAGCTTCATAGCAAATGGGTCACCCATAGTTTCTCCGCTCCTGTGCCAACGAAAAACACACGAAGCTCACAGTGTCACGCCATGCACTCAACTCAGAAGCTGGGCGACGAAACAGAGGAGGAACCAATCCTTAAGGCCGTTAAATATTATATATGATTAAAGTAACCGAAAATGTATTGATCAGCACTGGTAGAAAGAAGTAGAAAGATAGAAGAATACACTAGACAACATAAAAATCGAAAGCTATAGTTACCGTGGAGGGAATCGAACCAGTCACCTCTAGACGGCGTGTGCGCCTCGCTAAGGAAACAATTGCACTAACATGGTCAACTAGGTACCCCCCAAAAAGGTGTCTTATGTGTTCTTCTATCTTTCTACTTCTCTATATGAGTGCCAATCAATACATTTTCTGTTACTTTATTAATATATACTAGCCACGACGCGTACTCTATATTAGAGCACGTGAGCGCCTCTAACGACCGCATAACATGTACAAATGGCCCCAATCCCCGCTTCCCGACGCACCGAGCCTAGATCCGACAAGACAGTGCCTTCTACGTGCCGTGGTGCATTCTACGTACCGTGGTTTCAGACATCTTAACATTTTGTGGTGTCCCGCACAACGCCCTGTCGCTGCAAACACGCAACGCTACCCTCTGCAATAAACTCATTTCCTACTGAAAATTCCAGACGGCTCTCATATATCCACCAACAAACACTACTACTGCTTACAAGCGAGTACGCAAAGAAAAAGAATTAACACGTATCGCAGAACGCTGTGTGAATACCAAAGTACAGCGGCACACCCCTTTAACTTGACCAAGGTCGACCAGCCCAACCAAGTATGAATGAAAAGTTGCGTAGTGCGTAAATGGGAGGGGCTGGCACCTATAGACCTATGTTCGTGAGTTGTTCCGATGTCTATATGGCGCCAGGTACGATACTTTGTTCAGCATGCCTTACTGGTAGTATGTAGCGTGTGGGTGGGTGTATTTACCCGGTACAAGCACGTTCCACTACCTGTTCATTGAGGGAGAAACAAAGTCAAGTTTACAAAGACAGCGCGATGAGACAAGACTTGTCGTTGATTACAATAACAATATGCTAATATTCCGGAAGCATGTTAATAAGGTCACGGACAGTGACGACGTGCTGTAAAAGTAAGCCACGAACGCGGCATTATAAACACGTACACATGCAAAGTTACGTAATTCTAAAACAAAAACAAAACATCGGGATCACAAGACGCACCAAGATGGTGGCTGTTGCTTTCATTCTTAACGACCTTTCTTTACAAGAACAACAATATCACGTCTTTTGAGCTAACTATATACACAGTGCGGCGTCCGTGGCTTGGGCGTTGCAAGACCGACTCGTAATTATAACGTACCGCGATCGAAACCCACTGCTGGCTGTGTAGATTTTGATTATGGTTTGGGCGTCGCAGGTCGACCCAGCCTAAAATGGGTACCAGGATGTATGTCCTGGGAAAGTAAAGACAGCTGGCGTAAAGCTGACCACATTACCCACCTAGAGCCGATTGGTCTGTAAAAATATGGGTGCTCTTCCCATGTGCCAAATGCGCTTAAAGGCGTGAAAAGGGATTTTTATGCGTCCTTTCAAGGACTACACTTCATTGATAACAACGCTACCAGTTTGTTCATTTCTACAAAACTGTAGCACTAACTATAGCAACATTCGCAAGTTACGACAGTTACTACAGTTATTATGACCAAACCTAGGAAATCCACAAGACGTTATAACTCATAAAGAAGGTGATCAGAAGGTGAAGCAAAAAAAACAACACCTCTAATTCTGGCGCAGCGATAACGAGATAACTTCGTCGTCGACAAAGGAAACAGTCGACACAGAGACCAAGAAGAAACAGCCCGATAAACCGGATGCCATCTTTTTTAGCAGATTAAACAGCAAGAGCAAGAGAGACTACCTAGGAGAGGGGAGGTCAACCAGATAGTACCTCGGAGAGGGGAGGTCAACCAGATACTACCTCGGAGAGGGGAGGTCAACCAGATAGTACCTCGGAGAGAGGTGGTCAACCAGATAGTACCTCGGAGAGGGGAGGTCAACCAGATACTACCTCGGGGAGGGGTGGTCAGCCAGAAACTACCTCGAGAGGGGAGGTCAACCAGATACTGCCGCAGAGAGGGGACGTCAACCAGATACCACCTCGGAGACGGTTGGTCAATCAGATAGTACCTCGAGAGGGTTGGTCAACCACATACTACCTCGGAGAGGGGTGGTCAACCAGATAGTACCTCGAGAGGGTTGGTCAACCACATACTACCTCGGAGAGGGGTGGTCAACCAGATACTACCTCTGAGAGGGTGGTCAACCAGATACTACCTCTGAGAGGGTGGCCAACCAGATACTACCTCTGAGAGGGGTGGTCAACCAGATACTACCTCATAGAGGAATGGCCAACCAGATACTACAACGGAGAGGTGTGGTCAACCAGATACTACCTCGGAGATTAAACACCAAGAGCAGGAGAGACTACCTCTGAGAGGGGAGGTCAACCAGATAGTACCTCGGTGAGGCGTGGTCAACCAGATAGTACCTCGGAGAGGGGTGGTCAACCAGATACTAAATCGGAGAGGGGAGGTCAACCAGATACTACCTCGGGGAGGGGTGGTCAGCCAGAAACTACCTCGAGAGGGGAGGTCAACCAGATACTGCCTCAGAGAGGGGACGTCAACCAGATACCACCTCGGAGACGGTTGGTCAATCAGATAGTACCTCGAGAGGGTTGGTCAACCACATACTACCTCGGAGAGGGGTGGTCAATCAGATACTACCTCTGAGAGGGTGGTCAACCAGATACTACCTCTGAGAGGGGTGGTCAGCCAAATACTACCTCTGAGAGGGTAACCAACCAGATACTACCTCTGAGAGGGGAGGTCAACCAGATACTACCTCAGAGAGGAATGGTCAACCAGATACTACATCGGAGAGGTGTGGTCAACCAGATACTACCTCGGAGAGGGGTGGCCAACCAGATACTACATCGGAGAGGGGTGGTCAGCCAGATACTACCTAGGAGAGGGGTGGTCAACCAGATACTACCTCGGAGAGGGGTGGTCAACCAGATACTACATCG